TTTAAAGTTAACAAAAATGAAACTATAAAAAGAAGTATAGTTAAAAGGAAGATAAATCAATCATCTATTGATGCTCTTTGTATATACCTCAACTTAAAACTTAACCAAGATTTGGACATAAACAAGACATGTGATGAATTGTTTAATGAATTTTATTCTACATTTTTATTTGCTTTTGACTCATGCTTTCCCTTGAGAAAGCTGGAAATAAAAAATGTAATAATACAGGATGGATGAATGATGAACTGCAGAAATCTCAGGAGAGAGTGATGAACACCTATTGGGAGACTAGACAATCAAAAAATGATAATGAAATAAAAATTAGATATAAAAATGAAATAAGAAGACACTCTCAGCTGGTTGAAAACTCTAAAAAAAATTTCTACAGAGATAAAATTGTAAATTCCAAAAATGTGAGCAGGGAGTCGTGGAGGGTTGTCAGGGACCTGACGGATGATGGTGCGGGCGGCTGCGAAAACATGTCCATGTTGGAGGGTGATAGGCTAATTCACGACCCCTTTGAGGTTGCACAGTTGTTTAATTCTTTTTTTGTGGAGGAAGTAAATAGGATTGCTGCTGCTGCGTCGACTGGAGTTGATCTAAATGATGCAAATATAAATGAAGTGGAAATGAACCTGCCCCATACGACAGAAGAAGAGGTGATGTCTGTTCTAAATCACGTAGGAAGAGGAAAATGCGCTGGAATTGATGAGGTACCTTGCTACTTACTTAAATATTGTAACACCATTGTTGTAAAACCCCTTACAAAAATAATTAATAAATCACTAAGCACAGGAGTGTTTCCAAATCAAATAAAAACTTCAAAAGTTGTACCAATTCATAAGAAGAATGAAAAGAAACTTGTAAATAACTACAGACCTGTTGCTGTACAATCGGTTTTCTCTAAGGTCTTTGAGATTATTTTCATAAATAGACTTATAAATTATTTAGAAATAAATCATGTTATTACTGATAAACAATTTGGATTCCGTAAGGGTAAATCTACGTCTGATGCCATTTCCTACACTCTTGGGGTCAGTCTATAAAAATCTGGATCTTATGGAAGAAAATCTTTGTCTATTCTATGATATGACTAAAGCGTTTGACTGCATAAATCATTGTAAACTGAGGATTAAACTAATTAGTATGGGAATAAGAAATACAGCTTTAGATTGGATAATGTCTTTTCTTCAAGATCGAACACAAGTAGTTTCTATAAAATATACAGATTCAAACCAGACATCAAAATTTGTCAAGTCAAAAATTTCTCCTTTGATAAACACAGGTGTCCCGCAAGGTTCAAACCTCGGGCCTATAATTTTCCTGCTTTTTATTAACGATCTGCCATGCTCAGTGACAAAGGGTAATATTTGGCTCTTTGCAGACGACATCAGTCAACTATTTACAGGAAAAGTTATCAAAGAAGTAATTGATGAAGCTCAACAGGGAATAAATGAAATTGTTTCATGGTGCAGCTTAAATGGATTAACACTAAATCAAAGCAAAACAAATGTTCTTCATTTTTACAATAGGAAAATTCCAAATTGTTCACCTTTACTCAAAATGAATGGAAATAGCATCAAAATCAACCATAGTACCAAATATCTTGGAATTACAATTACAGAAAATTTGCACTGGACTGAAGATAATGATGGTATGATAAAATGTCTGAAAGTTGTATACTGCTTAGTAAGAAGACTCCAAAACATAGTTGATCAAGAAGTATTACTAAAAATATACTATGGGTGCTTTCAGAGTGTAATAGCCTATGGCGTACTCTTTTGGGGAAATAGCCCTGATGCAAAGAGAGTTTTTATCCTACAGAAAAGAATAGTTAGAACAATTTGTAAGCAACATTACTTAACACCATGTGCACCTTTTTTTAAATCACTGCAAATTTTAACCTTACCGTCTCTTTACATATTTGAAGCAGCAGTAACAGTTAAGAAATCTCCCCAATGCTTTATTCAAAATTACAACGTCCATAACATTAATACGAGACAGAAGAAAAATTTACATGTACCTCAGATTAATTCAACTTTAGCAAGAAATAGCCCTCACTATCAGTGTGTAACAATTTTTAATAGACTACCAAATGAGATTAAGGAAGAACCTTCGATGGAATCTTTCAAAGAAAAATTGAAGAATATATTAACGGAATCCCCGTTATATAAAATTGAAGACTTTATAGTAAATCCATAGAAAAGAAATAAAAAGAAAAAAAAAAACTGACGTCCACGGCGCAGCAGCGCTTCCAGTGGCAACACATCAAGTATCAAGCAAGTAAGTATCAAGTAATCCCATCAAGCTAATGGCGCCAGAGAGGACAATCTGAAACCGATGAATGGGGGGCACCAATAAAAATCAGAGTGCCAGTGCACCCGACCTACCGGTTATTGCGGTTCCCTTACATTTTTCAAATACCACAGCACAGGCAAGGGGCTATTTTGTTCCCTAGCCTGTGTTTATTTTATACATACTTTACGGTACTATGGGGAAGGTGCAAGCTATAGCTTCCTTCTTTTCAACCATCTTGGCCATTGTTACTTCAGTTGATTGAAATGGGAGTTGTTATGTTATTACTCAGTGGGCTAGAAAAAAGTAGGCTAAATCTTCAATAATTTGGCTTTACGAAAAATTTGAGTTAATAATGAGAAAAACTCCACCATAGTTTTCAATCTGAGAGAAAAGGATCATGTTGATGCAAAAATATTCCTAACCAGCTGAATCCCAAACTTATGCTATTTTGCTTCCCTATATAACATTATTAATTGGTATTCTAAAAAAATAATAATTGCTGTGTAGGCCTAATTTGTTTCAATCATTGATTTAATGACTCACTGGACAAGGATAGCATGAAGCAGGCAGACTTTAACCCGTTGGAGTCTTAAGAGTACGGTACCACATAAAGATCAGCCTCTTGGTACTGAAGTGGTCTGTTACCCACAATTGAAGACATCTACCGACTAAGGCCCGATTTCACCAAATACTTAAACCGCCGTTAAGCCTCGCTCTAACTACAGTTAGTTCTTAACTGACGAAATCGGATTCCACCCATCACCATAACTCTCTGTTAGAGCTAGTTTAGAGAAAACCGTAGTTCTTTTGAAAGTTATGGGTGATGAAGAGTTGCCTGCCTATGTTTTTCACCAAACTAGATGGATGAGAGAAAAGGTTAATGATTTAACTAAGACAAGATTAATTTTATAACTAGATATGAAACGTTTTGCCTTTTTCTTTAGGTTATCCACAAGATTTGTAGTAAAGGCATATCCCTAGGAATGTGATCAGCCACTTTTTTGTCCCTGCTGAAATAGTTTTTCTACCTACATTATCAAATTCCTTTTTTCTTTGTAAAAAAAAATAGGCTCCCTTTTCCTTTTCCCGGTTTTAAGTAACCCTAACCCTACAGTCAAACAATTAATTTAGTTCAGTCAGAGGTAATTAAGGTCAATAACTAAACCTAAATTGTCATTATTCTGCTAGTATTTATAGAAAATCATTATTTTTATGACATCTTTATTATTTAAATAAAATTTCAACAAAGAAATCAAGAACAAGAACTTATGATGGAACAACAAATGTTTCTGGAAAGATCCAAAAATAGTATATTTGTTTTAGAGATTTTATTTTTAGAATCACAAAACAAAACCTTGCAAAATTTGTTACCAGGAAAAGTAGTTCTCTAGTTTTGATTGCATCATAACATCTACCAGATCCTTTTACATAACAAATCAGTCTGAAATAAGTTTCCCTACCTTATCTAACTTTTAGGAAACTAAGGTGGATTTCAGATAATAAAACTGACACTTCAATACAAAAATGTAAGTGTAATACTGTCATAAAAGTACACTAAACTTAACACCTAAACTTAACATCAGTCTCTGAAATCAGTCTCAGAAGTATTTAATATTAAAATAAGACATGGAGTTGTCGTAACATAAAAACCTAAATATTTATGACATTACATTACAAACCAGTATATTTTCACTGAGGGCTGAAAATGGAGTTTGCACTTGCAATCGCAAGGGGTGTTTTAGTGCTGTGATTTAAAATATATGTATATATTTTAAACAATTTATATTACAGTGATAAAACAAATTTTATTTCCTTTAGGAAACAGTCTGGAAATCATTTTTTTGAACACACATTCCAGCTTGTGGTATAATTTACATACCGTTAAATTTAGATCACTGCCAATCAATGATACGCAGTTGTTTTGTGCCTTACCGTAACTAAACCATTATTCAGCCAGACATGCATACTGGTGATTCTTTTGAGAGAAACGATTGATAGATTATCATATCGTTTAAAAAGGTGAAGGTATAACTAACTGGCGTTGATAATTAAGTGATATTATGCCAACAGACTATTTCTGTGGATATGTTTAGTTACAGGTCTCCGCTGACAAATCATAGACTCTAAGCAACTTGGAAGTCAGCCTTCGTTTGAAATTACCAGAATATGCCCTCAGATGTTGTTTGAAAATTAGACCTCCATACTGTGCTCTAGATACAAGTGCCCCAAGGTGCCCGAATGCTCAATGTTTAAACACCAATTGCACACCACTGTTGTCTAAATGAATGCATTTCCTTAGTTTATATTACACTGTCAAATAAAAAAAAAAAAAAAAAAAAAACAACCAAGACTAACCAAGATTGCAAACGTTTTCACAAAAGGTGTTAACACTTGGATATTTTTCACTACACTCTAAAATTAATGCAAATTTAAATTACAATGAGAAAATAAGGTTGTCTGAGAAAAAAAACCTCTCAAAATCAGTTAATCAATAAAAAAACACAGCATCAACAGCACCATGTTTTTGATTTTAGGATTACGATTGCCAATCGATATCAAAGTGAAGACAATGTTCACAGAACTGCGGCTAAGTTTGAAACTACTGAATATTGCAAGTATTAGTTTTCACCACTGTCTTACTCACCTGTCTTTAGGTTCCAAAAAGAGCTGGTGTGGTAAAAACAAATAAATATAAAACATAAACATCAAAGAAGACATGTCTTCAAAAGAATTCAACTTTTACAAACTGGCTCCTAAGAAGACAAATGCAAAATACAGAGTGTCCGGTAGAAAGAACCAGCTAGGACTAAAACAATACATTAAACATCAATCATTGTAATCAATATAGGTACCAGAAGTACCTACCACTTTTGTTTAAAATGAAAACTACGAGCCTTGTTTAAAAACACTAAATTCCTTACAAAAAGGCTATTTCCATCACAGCAAATCCTTACCTCTGTAGTAACAAAACACTAAATAATTAATTTATATCACACATGGAGGCATTTAGGCCTCAGATAGCTAGAAGGCATAACTTAATCTATAGTGTTCAACAAACTTAATTAAATAGGAGTGCTCTCTGATTCCATTTGTAGGCCTTGAATCTACCAATTTTCTGTGTTCCGACGTAATGGTAAGATATAAAACAATCTTGGCACATAAGGTTCACGTCGTGCGGCATACGATCACTGCCCATAACAATTCGACTGAAACAATAACAACAGTGTTAGCATTTAATAAAAGCTAATTTTAATAAGAAAAAATTTGAAATAACTATTGATTGATTAAAAGTGGCAATAGTCATGTTACTTGGTCAACGTCCAATTTAAACATTGTAGGATTGACAACTATAATCAGTAAAAACATCATGAAAAGCCAACCAACAGCACAACCACAATATATACTTTAACAACATTCGTCATCACCTCCAGCAATGCTGGCAACATCTTTTATGATTACCCGCTATCACAGAAACATCCGTTATGTCTTTCCATGTTTGCGACAACAAGCGTGATCATCTCCAGCAACCATATCAATATCCGCCATCATCTATCAAAGACATAGGCCTAGCCAGAATTACGATAATTTGTGCACAACTGTGATTATCTATAAAAATTATGGCAACATCCGTGATTATTCATCATTGTGATCATTTCCACGAGTGATTCACTTCCTTGACATAACAACGCAAAGATTTACATACAATTCATGGTATTCCTGGTTTCCGGGTTGACTGGACAACTTGCATAGTAATAGCAAAAATAACTACAAAAGGTCTGCTTTTACATAATTTTACAACTAAGGAGTTAAAAATTATAGTTTTGTAAAACAGTAGGCCTACTTACTCGGCTGGTTTCTTGGTGCATATTAAACAGTAGCTTATTGAAGAACGACTCGTTTTAGTGATATTCGGATAGTCAGAAGAGTGCAGAGAGTGTTTCTCAGTAAGAAATCTGAAAAAAACCAATGTTAGTTAAAGGTGTGGATGAGGTAGTAGAACTTTATCCAAATAAACAATTATTTTTAGGGATCCTTGGTTTGTATCCTTTTTTTGTTTATTCTTGACCTCTCATTGGTTATTTAACATAAGAACTCTACACCATTTTTTAAGTTAATTGTAAATGAAGGAAGAAAACAGTAAAGATGTTATACCTGGAATGCCACAACATTAATAACATTGTTGTGTCTAGGTGGGGCCTAACACATTGCCTAGGCTAAAACATTCCAACAGGGAAGCTCTCTTAATCTGTTTTTATTTGTCTTAGTTATGGTTGAAATTATAAAACAACTCAAAGCAGTAAAGACAACATACTTTAAGCACTAGTGTTTATTGAAAACTAGGTGTTTTGAGGACATACAAAATAAGAATTCCAAATAACGCTGAACATGATGTATACAAATTTTAAAGCTGGAAATTACAAATCCCAGAAACGCTCAGATTAAGAAACCTTACCCTCTAGAAAACAGCTAAAGTTACAATTTTTGCACCAAATGTTGATGAGTAAAATACTTCTACCAAAACAATATGTGAGAAAAATGGCAGCAACAAAACCACAATAAAATTGCGTAGGGTTTATTGCTCAGAATTGCTGACTATGTTGTGACCCCAGCTTAACCTGGATGTACCACGTTATCCAGATATGCAACAAGCTCACGATAACAGTGTACCTTTTTAGGGAGCTTGAGCTTGTTGCTTACCTTGATAACGTGGTACTTGGGCAGGTTATCTCTAAACTGTATATAGTCACTAGTCAGTGTACCATACTCTTTTTCAAAGCCACATAAGATATGGTATCACACTCTGGGGCCATTCAACTGCAACACAACATCTTGCTACCTCAGAAGATGATGTAGAGAATGATTACGTCTGCCAGGTTTCATGGCCACTGCAGACTTAAAAGTTCTGACTGTTTACAGCTTGTACAGCTTAGTAGCATGGTATTACTCAAGGGAAACTCAACTAAACTTGCTCGACGCAAGGACCAACACACATAACATGGCCATCTCCTTGACCTACACAGATTTCCTTTTGCCTGGTAACCTTAGTGCACCAGGAAGATCTACAACACACTCCCAGCTAGAGTGTGCAAGCTGAACCAACTACTGGGGGCTTTTAAAGATACACTAAGAATTTATGTAGGCAGACCTATAGTGAAATATATGAAACACTATTTTTTAGCAACTCGTCGTAATCATTTTTTTTTCAATTTAGCTTAATATATGACACAATATCTTTTGCCTTTGTCGGTCTCTGCTGCAGAATCCAAGTATCAAGTAAGTAATATCGCATACTAGTGTAAAAGGAAATCAAGATGTGATAAATGATTGGCATTCACCTTGCTTGGCTTATCATGATGATGTGTTCACAGCTGCCCTGATGTATGTAGACGTAAGGGTAGCCAAACCTAACCCTGAGGTCCTCCACTTTTCTATCATGCATTGCCATTGTTTTACCAACATCAATATGATTTTCTTGAGCCCACTTTTTGATGGGTTCAGAGTAATCTTCAGTGCCCTCTACGGTGTCAATGTAGAAGGTATTGTCGATGTAAAACATGCCCGACTTGTACGTATCCTGAAAAAAAAAAAAAACACTTTTAGGATAGGATACTAATTCAAACCTCTGTATCTTTAAAATCACCAAAATTCTATTTATTTACGGCAAAAACCATTATGCAACAAGTACCATACACAAAGATACAAAGTTAGTGAATCAGTAATAGTGCATGCTCACACAAGAATCAATATGTGTTTAAAACATCCCGGGTTGATGAGCCAAAGTAACGGAATCCATAACCAGCAAACTGGTAGTAGTTTTGCATGGAACGAAGAACTAGAAAAGAAAAACTCCTTCATACAAGACTGCACAATGCACAGAACATCACCAACGTATGTGCATTAAAAAGACACCTGATCTCAAAGATGGATCAAAGAGGACACGCACCAACAACCAAATTACAACAACTCGTCATCTATCAACCGAATGACAACTCCACCAACAACCACACACCTACCATAAAAAGGGCCGCTACTAGAATCAGAGAGCGTACCCAAGATACCTACACATCATTCAAAAGCAGGTGGGTAAAGCAGGTGATAAGACATACTCCGGAGGGCAGAAGACCATTTTTCCTGTCAATTTGTGTTTTTATTCCAATGCGCTATTATTTAAACTTTAAGGGATAACTTATTTGAGCCATGGAACATTTCCTGTTTATAGTAAGTATAATTAAGCCTACTTTATAGACAGCAATCAATCAGGCACACGCTTCGTTGAGTTTAATCAGCTATGAGAGCAAGATGGATGAGTGAGATGCCTGTGTACAGTGTTTCCACAAAGCCAAAACAAAATTCCCGCTTACGGGGCCGAGAAAATCTGATTTTATCATTCTTGTATAAATAAATAGCTATTTAAACCTTGCTATAATGTGTTACTAAAACAGTTGAATCCAATTGAAGTTTTATTTTACTAGGAAAGCAGAGATTTGAGAGCCAAAAATCCCATATCCACATCCCCTTTCAATCACATGCACAATCTAAAAATTTCCATTTTTGGTATTGACTAATAAACAGATACCTTCTGTTTATTGGTTCACTATAACTACGCTGCTACTCAAATATATACAGAAACATGTCTTTTTGTTAGGAGCTTTTGGTGGAACATATAAACTGTAAAGACCTGAGGGATGCATTACCCAGAAATATATCCATAGAGATAAGATCGGCATTCATGGCTCAGTACAATAGTTCATTCCATGTAAAGACACACTTACCTTTGCCAAATTTTGTTTCTTATCAAAAGGCCATTCGCTGATTTCACCATCTGTTGTTTGGTAGTCTAATTCACACATAATTTTTTGCCGCAAGTTAAAAAGAGTTTGGAAGTTAAGCACGTCAATTTCTTGCAAGCACTTTCCAATACGAAAATTTTTTAATCCTGGAGCATGTTTAAAGGGCTTATGAACTCGAAAACTGACAAGAAAATGTTCTCTTGGTAACAAATTTCTTTTTCCATACCTCTGAGTTGTGTCCTAAAAGAAAAAAAATAGGTGATTGTAGGCTTATACAAAGTTAGTTACCGTACTAATTTTGTAATTTAAAATTTTTTAACAATGCTTACCAGTTGGCCCAAAAATATGACAAACACGGTTTGTTACAATGTGAAATGCGAAAGTTCCACCCAGTGCAAAGAAAAGTAATCATACACTTAAATGATCAACAACGAGAAGTTTTACCTCTATGTACATATACTTGTTAGCAGTGCTCGATTTGCGGCGGAACGGCGTTCTGGTACATCTCTTTTGGAAAGATAAATATTGACATAGTGTTCCGGCACCTCAATTTTTACAAATCGAGCACTGCTCGTTAGGACATACATATATGTATATACGACTAAATAAAATCCAACTACTGTATATTCATCATCAACTAACTCCTTTCTCCCCCCCCCACATGGAGAGAAGCGTAACAAAACTAAGTCAAAATACAAAAATTTTAATTGTCATAATGTGTACCGTAATTAATGGTATTAATATTTCAAATTAACTATTTTATAGAGGTCTCGGAACCTCACTTTGTGTGCATTTGCAAGACAAAAATATCAGTCAAAATTAACTGAAAATGCTGATGCATGAGTGCTGTCGCTGACATGTAATACAAACTAATTGATTTTAATATGCAGCTTTTATAACAAGCACCTCAACAAAATAGATGGTTGACTCACTCTCACTCTACTCTCGTCTAAGTCTAGTCCAGCTTGGGAATTGAAAACAATTAAAAGAAAAGAATATTGAAAACTTCAACGCAGAAAAATAAAATTTAACATTAAACCTGCTCAAATTTCGGGAAGGCACTTAACAACAATCAACGTTTGTTATTCTCAACATAGTTTTAACTTAACTAATTTTTATAAATACTAATAATTGTAAAGTACTTACGACCATCGTCATCCCTCTAATAGAGCAATTCTTTCTGTTTTGGCTGGGAGCTCTTTGATTGATTTCATGAATGATCTCAGCAGTAGTACGTTGTTTATATTGCATATCAACCTCACTTTCGTCTGAGGAGGATTGTTCATCCATGTTAGAATCACTTTCATTTTGCGTGTTAGATTGCTTATTTTGCGTGTTGGATTTCTTATTTTGTGTCTTGGATTTCTTATTTTCCGTGTTGGATTTCTTATTTTCCGTGTTGGATTTCTTATTTTCCGTGTTGGATTGCTTCATGTCAGATTTATCATTATCCTCCTCCTGCTCATTATAATCAATCTGTTCAGTTTTTACCCTAATGCGTGCACTTCGCCGAAGCCCTTTGTTTTTTGAAGAAATATTTTCATCATCTTCTTGACCAGGAATACTTGGACATGTTGGAATTTCATAATCATTATTAGCATTTGTTAGTGCAGCAGGTTCGGATACTACAGAATCACAACTTTTTATGGATGGGATTGTTTCTTGTGATATGGTTCTTTGGCCAAGAAAACTTGAACAGGTTGGAATTTCATAATCACTATCAGCATTTGTTGGTGCAGCAGATTCGGATGCTACAGAATCACAACTTTTTATTGAAGTGATTGTTTCTTGTGGTAGGTTTTCTTGACCAGGAAAACTTGAACTTGTTGGAATTTGATCGTCATTATTCACATTTCTTGGAGCATCAGGTAAGGGTGCCATGAAAGAATCATAGCTATTTGTGGATACAATTGTTTCTTGCGATTGGTTTTCAGATGTATCCGAGGGTGTTAGAAATATAGCAGTCGCTACACTACGGTTAGAGTCAACGAAAACACTGACGTTTTTATCAATCTCATCACTTATGACAGAAGATGATATTGAAGCTGTATCTTGATTGTTTGAATTTTCCTGTGTTTTTTTAAGCAGGCCACCTTTTGAAGTAGAGGGCAAACTCAACATAACATCAACTAGTCCTAATTCAGATGATGGTTCATTGTCTTTCTTGTGGTCGCTAATTTCTTTACGAACAACATTTTCATTTTCTTTTGCCACATTTGATTTTGATGTGGAGCCTTTAGGCCTACCCTTTTTGTTTGACAAGTTGCCAATTTTTTTTCTAGAAGTGCTATGGGAGAATTTCTTTGATACTTTTTTTGTAGGGCGTTTTTGTTTTTGTGATGTTTTGCAATCATTTGTTGGCCCTGACTTTCCAGCTTCTGTTGAAGTAGAGGGCTTACTTTTTTCTAATAAAGTGGAAGGCTTACTTTTTCCTGTTGAAGTGGGAGGCTTACTTTTTCCTGTTGAAGTGGAAGGCTTACTTTTTCCTGTTGAAGTGGAAGGCTTACTTTTTTCTGTTGAAGTTGACGGCTTACTTTCATTACCAATGAGTTCATTTGTTGAAACATCAATAGGCATAGTATAAAATTGTCTTGGACTGTAAAAAAAAAAAAAACAATCAATAGTATAAGTGTATTAAAAAACTTAAAATTTAGTAATAAACTAAAAAGTACGTTTAATGTTACTGCTGTAAAAATTGTTTTTTTTTATTGGAGGTTAATATTAACTTAGTTATTTTAGGTTAATCTACAACCTCACCACCTCTCCAACTTAAGGCCACCTCCACCTGGCAACTTTTTATCATAGTTTTGTCAGCCAGTAACAGAATGCACTACCTTCAAAAATTATATTTTCTACCTTCCTCATTTGTCGTAGCTGACATAGTTGTCGGATCATAAAAGTTGCTACTGTAGCTCACAATAAGTGGTTCCATCAGTTTGACTAGGTGAAAAAGTTTGTGTATTCGACAAAAATTATTAATTGAGATCATCACCATCTGCTGGTGGCTTAAAACAACTATGATTCCGATTAAAAAACTGGTGGCAACTTTAACACATGGGATGAAATTAGAGATGTTATTTAGCCTAAAGTTGTATTCCAGCAACGCAACGTAAAGTTTTTCGCCTGTCAATAACAGGTTGCCTCATCTGGTTACTTCAACAACGTTGCCGAGTTAAGCTCTACCGTTATGTAGAGCTTAAAAAATGAAATAATTTAATATAGGCTATTGAAGCGCTGTTGTATGCCTAACGGTCACGGAGAAAATTCAAAAATAGTGTAATTTAAAATTCCCATGTTATTCTTATGGAGAAAATGAAAATTGTTGTAGTTTACTTGTTTATGGATATATATTGATAAAATTTGGCAAATTTATTTATTTCATCCTATAGGCTACTATTGACGTATGGTCAAAAGACACTTTTACCTTCCCCGTAGCAGCAAACATAAGCACTAATTAAATCTAATGTTATTTAAATAGGGAACCAATCTATCTATTCTATATATTAATTACGTAAGCCGATTCTTTGCATCAAAATTGTGGGCGACTGGGAAGTCGTAGAATGACGGGAGAGGGCTCAAATTAAAGGTTTCGATCCCGTGACGGCGGGAAAAATAGTGTTATTCCCAAAATCTTAATACAAAAGTAGATATAACGTAAAATGTTCTCCATAAGAATAGCATTAGAAGGCATTTACTGCTGATTTTTGTTTACTTCAATACAGCTGATCGTGATTTATCATTAAGCAAGTAAGCAATATTAGGCTACATTTGGATTGCTCATTCAGTCAATTCTGCAATGTACAGTAATGTATACTGTATAAAACCAACTATATAAAGGGATAACGTTACCCATAATAATCAAGACTTTTTACTTATGTCAAAGTTGAAACAAGTTGTTTTCAAGATTAAAGAAACGATTCAAGATTAAATGAAGATCTTCTTTGTTCTTATTTCAAAACATATGTTAAATATTTATTCCAGTCTTTTTTGTAAATTTACTAACATTTATATTTGAGATTTATTGTAGTGTTTAATCAATATTTTGTATGAAGTGGAATAACCTAAACGGTTACTCTTAGAAAACAATTTGGGAATAAAGATGAAGTAGGTTCGTACAGGTATTTGTTCATTAAGTACTTAAGGTACTTTGTTGCTCCAAGCAAAAAAGGTAAAACCAATATAGCCTAGCATGCACGTAGTAAAGGGAGCACCTATAAAACACAGATAATTCCAAAAAAAAAAAAAATTGGAAATTCCCAAAACATTCAGAAAACTGTCTGGAATATAATTAACTCTGAAGTTGGGGAAAATGACAAGAAACCATTAGAAAATATAATTTTTAAACAAAATTCAGAAACAATTTTAGACCCTGGAAAAATTGCAAATATGTTTAATGGTTATTTTAGCAACATGGTTACAGATTTAGATTTAAATTTCAATTGTAACAATCAGAATGTGACAGATGGTGTAAAAGCTGATTTTATCGATGACTTGTTTGTAAAGCCAAAATTTGAACTGAAACCGATCACTGAAAGGGAGGTGGAAAAAATAATTCAATCTTTAAAAAATAAACACTCCAGTGGGCATGACGAAATTCCTGTAACAATAATAAAGGCTGCAAAAACCTACATCAGCAAAATTGTTTGTCATCTGATCAATTCTTCGTTTGTTTCAGGCATTTTTCCTAACATATTAAAGCAGGCAAAAATAATTCCTTTACAAAAAAAAAAAATGACCCTGAAAATATATCCAATTATCGCCCACTGTCTGTTCTTCCTTCAATTTCTAAAGTGTATGAAAAAGCCGTATACTTACAATTCAGAGTTCTTGGAAAAATGTAATATTTTGGATGATAATCAGCATGGATTCCGGAATGGAAGATCAGTTGTGAGCGCAGCTGTTTCTTTTATTGAATCAGTAGACAAAGGACATTATACAATTGGCATAGGACTATTTATGGACCTTTCTAAAGCGTTTGATAGTGTAAAACATAGTAAATTACTAGAAAAGCTTAAAATAATTGGAATATCAAAAAGAGCTCTTATTTGGTTTTCTTCCTATTTGACAAATAGATCTCAATTCGTGGAAATTACCCAGCTGACAATTCATAATAGAATTATCAAATCATCATCAACTTATCAACCAATTAAATTTGGGGTGCCACAAGGTTCAATTTTCGGGCCTTTGCTTTTTTTATGTTCCTTAAGGGCATGGAAGATACTTTAACCTACAAGCAAAATTCTAAATTATGTCTTTACGCTGATGATTCTAATTTGATTGTATCATCTAACTCTCCAGAAGAAGCTGAAATTCTTACATATGTAGAATTAGAGAATATTGGGAACTATTTCTACAATCATAACTTATTATTAAATTCACAAAAAAATAAATTTATAAATTTCAGAACAGCACAGAACAGAATTACAAAAGAGCCAACAATAACTTACAACTCAAATAACATTCAAAAGGAACATCAAATCAATTTTCTGGGATTAACACGTTCGCTGCGGGCCATCAAATGGCAGGCGTAGCCTCAGCGCGGCGCAGCTCGCAGCGTCGAACAAACCCGATTGCCGGGTGTTTGGCTCTCATATTTCGGTATGACGAATAGCAAATAACGTGCGGTGATGTCCTGTTTTATAACAAGAGTCGACGTAGTTCGCTGAACACTCACATATAGCAGCACTGCTTGGAACGTAGCCGGTCCCATCGTATTGCCAATTGGAGGGAGAAAGACGGGACAACAAGTTGATTTTTAAGTTTGCCAGACGGGGATTTTATGGGGAAATTTTACCACCAACCTACAAAACAACAAAAAGCAAGTCACCCACTACACGCTAACGTGGAATTGGTCTGCCTTCGACCGACGCTAGAGCAAAAACAATGATATACGAAAGGCATTGCCGAGCGTATCCGATCGGTTACGGCAGCGTCTGAACAGCGCTCGGCCCGTATCCGATCGGATACGCCCGCGGTGAACGTGTTAACAATAGGCCTAGATGAAAATTTGAATTGGGATAAACACACACAGAAAGTTTTAACCAAAACTAACTCTGGAATGTTCGCATTATCAAAAATGTCCTTTTATTGTAATTTGAAAACCCTAAACAGTATACTTTATTTTGCACACATTCTCTCCCTATTTCATTCGGTTTAGCATTATATGGGTCAACAAAAATATTAAATATGGATACCTAGTATTCTGAAGCGACAAAAAGAAGCTATCAGAATTATGCTTAATCTTAAACGAGATGATTCGGCAAAAGAACATTTTAAGAAATTACAAATTTTTACAGTTTATGGGCAATATATTTATGAAACAATTCTTATTGCAAAAAAAAAAAATTGAATCTGAGCAAGTAATAAATTCAGTGCATTCTTATAATTTTAGGAGGAGAAGGGAGTTTGTCCAGCCTCACAAATTAAAATTTTCTGAAAAAAAACCCTCATATGCTGGTAATGATTTTCTAAAATTTGTCCCTGAATTCATAAAAAAAGAAACGAACCTATCTAAATTCAAGAAAATTCTAAAGGAGCATTTAATAAATCTAGCATTATATTCTTTTGATGAATTTTCCACCTCCCATATAGAAATAGTAGCCTATTTTTGTTTTAAGTATTCTGACACTATTCACTGTACCACCAATGTACATGATTTACGAATAAAGATGTTTGAATATGAATATATAACAGTAGAACATATAGTTAATTTCCGTTTCTTAAAACTAACCAAAAATATTTATATCTTGTATTCATATTCACCACGCGCTAGGCGTGTGCTGCTGTCTCAAATAATTGATAGTTTGATCATTGATGATTAAGCTTTTAATTATTTGTTCTGGCTGTAGAATCAGCTGATTTTAGGCAGTAAAAAAGCTACACAAAACATTTCACTCCAATGTACACTATTCATTCATTCATATTTGGGTTAAAATACACGGAGCTGCGTTTCAGTAATAACAAAGTAGAACAAGCTAACCTAAGTCATCCTTTAGAGAATGTTTTGTGTATTACATGGTTTTCCTAGACGGGTGGCGTCGTCCTGTAATCCAGCTACTAGGAGGTCACGAATTGTGGATATTTATAGGTATGCACTGTGGATGGGATACTCCCTGGTGTGGATTAACGTCCGCACTAGTGAGTATTACGACTATCCGCAGTACTATCCTGATAATTAGACCAATTCGTATATACCAAGGAAAAATGTGGTTCGGATTCCACTATAAACTGTAGGTCCCTTAGTTGTCATTAGCTGTTTTGGCTATTAATTAACAGCTGTGTCTAAGGAATGTCGGCCTTAGTCACTAACAAGACTACAAGATCGCGCCACTCATCCTACACTCATCTCCATTCATACTTGGCTTAACCCTCTGAGCGTCCATCGTCGAAAAATCGACGCGCTACACACTTTGTGTAGTGTCACGCGTCGATTTTTCGACGCGCAAACATCGTTTACGGTGAAGGCTCTATGACTGACTGAATCGGATTGAACTGGATCGAGTTAGGTATCGTTCTTCTCGTTATATTCTAAGCTTTCTCCAGAGGTCTGTCTCAGCGCTGTATGTCCTCCGAGCCGATCGTAATTGTAGCAGACAACTGACGTGCGTATTTGTAAATAGCTAGGTTACCCTCGGACCGATGACTGATGTGTTTTATTATGTTTATCATTGTTTTAGTGTTAAAAATCAAAAGTAGTGATATACGTGGTGCATTATAAGAAGATTTAAGTGATTTTGAAGGGCTGGTTGATGATCCTGAAGAAGTAGGTAAGTTAGTGATATTGATGTAAATTATCAGCCAGATTCCTAGCTATGGTTAGGCTATGCATTCTTAGCTAAACGCTATGTACTGAAATCTGTTTTTTGCCCATAACTTATTTATTTGCAAATCTACTTCCTTATATTATATATTTGTAATCCTTATAAAATTTAGAACAAAGTGGCTATTTTCAAATATTTATAGGCCTATAATTTATCCAATTTCATTGAGCGCAAACTTTTTTTTTTGGAAGATTTTCCAAAATATTTTTTTTACCTAAAAAATTTTTTTGAAACAAATGTTCCTTATGTTTTATGTATAATATTGAAGCCCATGATTTTCCAAACAAAATGGTATATAGAACAGTAGAATTAACATTGTTTTAAGCTTCTCAGATCGGTTTTATAAAACCTTGCAAATGCGCCAAAAATAGGCGGACATTATAGGCCTAAACTATGGACACTCGGAGGGTTAAGATACCTACATTGTATGGTCGCCATTTCATAAGAAAGTATTAAAGTTTCAATAACTGGGACCCTAACCAGTCGCAAAATAGTTAGTAATTAGACGTTGATTAGGTCCTTTTTTGGTAGAATATGTAAATCAATCGCACCTTTAGGAGGATTACCACAACATAAACTTACATAATAATTAACATATACTTAATAATTACTAGGCTAATAGGCCTAGTGGTTTTTTAATGTTGATCAGAAACAAATGTATGGTTAAGCTCTGTCAATGGGATGACTAATTTTGTTAAACCTTTACAAAAGGAGCATAGACTTACAAATAGTCTGGGTAATTTAGCGGTTTTGATCAAGAACTAAGTTTATCTCAACACACCATTTTTTGCCTTTTCTTATTTTACGAAGACAATTTCCGATACTGTATTTCAGTCGGGGAAGCCTTTTAATCGCCATTAACCAAAAAACCAAAGCTACCATATCCCTCCGAGGGTCACGCGTCAAAAAATAGACGCACAACACACTTTGTGTAGGGTCACGCGTCTAGTTTAAGACGCACAAACATCGTTTACGGCGAAGGCTCTATGACTGACTGAATCGGATTGAACTGGATCGAGTTAGGTATCGTTCTTTTCATTAGATTCTAAGCTTTCTAAAGGTCTGTCTCTAAGCGCTGTTTGTTCTCTGAGCCGATCGTAATTGTTAGCAGACAGCTGACGTGCATATTAGTAAACAGGTTACTTAACCTCGGACCGATGACTGATGTGTTTTATTATGTTTATCATTGTTTTAGTGTTAAAAATCAAAAGTAGTGATATACGTGGTGCATTATAAGAAGATTTAAGTGGTTTTGAAGTGCTGGTTGATGATCCTGAAGAAGTAGGTAGTGATATTGATGTAAATTATCAGCCAGATTCCTAGCTATGGTTAGGCTATGCATTCTTAGCTAAACGCTATGTACTGAAATCCGTTTTTCGCTCATAACTTATTTATTTGATAACTTACCTCGCTATATGATTATATATTTGTAATCCTCATTAAATTTAGAACAAAGTGGCTATTTTCAAATATTTATAGGCCTATAATTTATACAATTTCATTGAGCGTGAACTTATTTTTTTTTTGAAAATTTTCGAAATTATATTTTTTTTTACCTAAAAATTTTGTTTTTAAAAAATGTTCCTTATGTTTTATATATAATATTGAAGCCCATGATTTTCCAAACAAAATGGTATATAGAACATTAGAATTAACATTGTTTTAAGCTTCTCAGATCCGTTTTAATAAAACCTTGCAAAGGGGCCAAAAATAGGTGGACATTAAGGCCTAAACTATGGACCTTTGGAGGGTAAATAAACCAATATTTATTCATAAACATGTTTGCTGCCTTTAGCAGTTAAACCTGTGGAATCATTCAAATTCTTTATTGAAAATAATATCAACAAAAGCAAACAAAGACAAACAACAAACAGTTTTTTTTTGTTTTTTTTTTTACACAAAAGATGTATAGTAGCCTATTGTACTGGGATATCTATCCTGACACACAGATAATTTGATTCTAAATTTGTTTAAATATTACAATAATTTCTTTTCCATTTGAGCTTTTTAGGGACTTATGTCCCTACAAGCCACTAGTCTATATATTAATTACGTAAGCCGATTCTTTGCGTCAAAATTGTGGGCGACTGGGAAGTCGTAGAACGACGGGGGAGGGCTCAAATTAAAGCTCAAAATTAGATATAACGTAAAATGTTCTCCATAAGAATAGCATTAGAAGTCATTTACTGCTGATTTCTGTTTACTTCAATACAGCTGATCGTGATTAATCATCAAGCCAGTAAGCAATATGAAATTTCTGGATTATTCATTTGTCAGTAAGGGTCAGTGGAGCCCTAGGAAAACCCAAAAGCAGGGCCCCCATTTTTTCCTAGGCCTAACTTAAGTTAGTGCGGGAATGCGGTGGTTGAGGGCACCTGGTGGGCGCCACCAAACCTTTGGCGCCCCTGGGCATAAGTTAACTTAGGCCTACGCCTAGTCTGCCCGTTTATAAAAGTGGGCCTGAGCCTAGGCTATCTTACATAGTTATAGGCCTACCGACTAAGGCCTACATAAGCCTAAGTTAGGCCTATGCTAGAATAAGTTTAGTCAATGCTTATTATACTTACTTCATAGTTTGCAGGAGAACTCTCTGCTTCCAAGCTGAAATTTCCTCTCCTTGTATGCCTAAAAGGTTATTGTATATTTCTCTGGTTGTAGTCTTGCTGTTGGGTTTAATTTCATACAGCTTTTCAGCATACTTGTGAAAGTATTCTTTGAATGTCACCTTTCCAGTGCACCATGAAACTTTTTTAGCAAAGCCCCCCGAATTTGGGAGATAGACCCTTTCCATACCCTCTAGCTCTTCCATTTTAAAAATCAACTTGGTCTAGGCTTAAGTTTAGGCCTATTCAAGCTTCTTAGCCTATCAGTTTTAAGAAAAACTAGGTTATTCCAGCCACCGCTCTGTAATTATATTTCGATTGCTTAACCACGTTTTAACACTTTGAATAAATAGCGAAATAGCCTGACAAAGTAACTACATTAAAGTGAATTTTTGAACACATCTATTCAACCTCAACCAAAAACGGCGTCACAGCTACAGCTACACTCTACAGCATATCAGCGAGCACTCACTCAGCTTTCATTTCACTACTCCACTACTGGTTTAGCAATCACAAACAATCAGTAACATAACAATAACAACAAACGAACAAAACAAACACAAGCTTCAGCTTCTTCTTCTTCCGCGTCTGAACTTTTCTAGTTCGTCTTCTTCTTTCTTCTAGGTTTTTGATATTTCCCCCCCTTTTTACTGAACTGCCAGCCACCTCGCCTCGCCAGCTTCAGTTATAAAAACAAAAGTTTTGTGCGCACGGACCATTGCACGGACGGGTCGCTACAGTGGTCGCTACTAACTAGCCGAACTAAAACATACGGGTACCGGTTATTGGCAGGGCTGGGGAGCCTGGGGGTAGGTGTGTTTTACATTTAATGTTAATCCGAATAAAGTAAGTGAGGAAGTATTTAATATAGGCTATTTATCTGAGAAATATGTTAAATCATGAACAATTATTACGTTGTGGAGTAGACTTTCAGTTATTAAGAGTGGTCTTCTTTTATGCACTAAAAGATGTCAACGATGTTTCAAAACAAGAAAAACCATATAAACGAAAGAGTGATGATTGTCACCAACAATGAAAACGGCACAATAAACATAACCTGAACCGCTGAACCTCTAATTTTTAAGTTATTACTTACCGTATTATTAAGGTTTTGCTTTGGAAAATCTATATTATTAAAGTGATATGCATTCCAATTTGTGTAAACGGCATTTTATCAAAATAAAATTAAAGGCATATGGCACATCAAAACGAAGCTTGGAGTGTGTATATTTGCCGAAAAGTATTGGTTTAGACGAATTTCTTAAGGGCTCTTCCCCGCAGACCTATTTCCAAAGGGCTGAGCCACGGCCGCATTTAACTCCAGGCCTTCGAAGTGGCAACGTTGCAAGTGGTGTTATAACAGCTGTTTTGTTTGGAAGCAGCTAATGTGTATTTACAAAAGATTGGTTACTGGACTATGACAATATTGACTCCACTCAAGGCCACACTATATGCTCAATTTCAAATGTACAGATATAGATTTTTAATTCATAATGTTTCGGTTTTCAATTCTGTATGTTTTATTTACAATATTTTAATAAATTTATGTTCATAAATTTAAATTTAAATCAATAAAGTGCGAATTAATGCGCTGATGTCATCTGTCTGCCATGTAATCTTATGGGACGTCTGCCACTAAACAACACCACTTGCGACGTTGCCAATTCTACCAGACCGCGGCCTGCAGAGGTGGCCGTGGCTGAGCTTGACATACTTCTAAATTTTAAATGATTTATTTTAATTTATTTAATGAAACAGCTCGTCAATGCAATTAACTGGTGTTTGTTATTTATTTACTTGAAAAATATGTTTATGATGATACTTTATATAGATTGAGGAAATATATGGGGTAAGAGGGTTTTGTTTGGTTAAAGAAAAGTAGTACAAGTGGTATAAAGTATTGTGATTTATATATAGTAAAGCTACATAAAGAGGCTGGGCTAAAATTGAAGAACTATAAAACATATAGTTCATAGCCTCAATATCAAGTAATTGATGTTATTTGCTACACTAAGGTATGTAGCCATATTCTTTTGGATCTACTACCATCAAAAGTAGGGATTTGAAAGTAAGTATGTTTTACATTTCAAATCAGTGCATCTTTTCAACTGGGGCGTAATTTTTTTTTGGGGGGGGGCAGAGGAGCATTTGCCTCCCCCCGTTCCTGGGCTAGAGAAAAAAATATGCTGTACTAGCTAATATATGTACAAATATTTTCTCCTGTCAAATCCTAAAAAGCAAGGCAGACAAAAATCAGCCTATTCTTGTACACTAATTTTAAACAAAAATATTATTTTTTTGGTGTCCCGCAGTACCATTCTGAGTTTACATAAATTATTAGTAGTTTTATTCATTTACTTTTTCTTCTTGGTTCTGTACGATCAACCACTTACTTCGTCTAGTTTATCTTACTAATATTATAAATCTGAAAGTTTGTGTGTATGTTTGTGTGTGTGTGTGTGTTGCTCAATCACGCATAAACTACTGGACGGATTGGGCTGAAATTTGGCATGATGATAGCTCACATTCCCGATTAACATTAAAGCATATTCTTATCTCAAAAACCCTTTCGGGCTCCGCCCCAGTGGCTCTGTAGTCCCCCATGTTAATCTTATGATTTTTCATATTTTAAAGTAATTAATGAATCTTAACAGCTGTTACAATTAAACAAGTTGGTTCTGCTCTACGATGTTCAATAACATAAAAGTTACAAGTATTACCAACAGGGTGCAGCACTATTATTTTTTTATTTATGACAACAGCTACTTTCCAACCAAAAGGTGAGTGAGCGTAGCGAACGAACTTCAACCTGGAGGCGAGTTAGCGTAGCGAACGAGCTAACCCGAAGGCAAGTGAGCGCAGCGAACGAGCTCCAACCTAAGGTGAGTGAGCGAACACGAACTTCAACCAGGACGTGAATGAGCCATGCGAATACTTATGAAGTTAAACGGGGCGAAGCCCGCGGGTACAGCTAGTACATACATAAACATGCAGATTTTTTAGAAGCATTGCTTTGTCATTTACTTTTATGAATTTATTCAACCATTAAAATTATACACGTGTATCAATTTTATGTGCCTACTGTAATTTATTTTGAACATTGTAGACTACCAGTCTAATATACCAGTTAAATAGAACCTTTTGTACTTTTGGGTCAAATATTTTTCTATTGTTAATACAATTTTATTTGCTTTTAAGTACTTAAATACTTGTGTTTCATTTAAAAACCAAAATAAACGAATATAAACTATAGGCTATAACCGTATTCATTCAAGAGAAATTGGTCATGAATCTAATAACAAACAATTAATACATCATGGAACTATTGATCACGTTTCTTAGCTGACTAACTTACCAACATATTACTGTATTTTGTTTCTGTTTGTTGTCAGTATAGTTCATTAATTTTCTTCCTAAATAAAAAAATTAATAAATTTTACTCATAATTTTGTTTTTCTTCTAAGTGCTTTTGACAGTTAAAATAAACTTAAACCGCTCTTTTTTTGTTTAAAAACTGCAAAAAATTCCCCCGGACCCCCATTGTTTGCCCCCCCCCAAGGATTTGGTGAAATGATGCCACTGCTTTTCAAATTTAATCACAGAGTTGCTGTATTTTCAAAACACAGTCAGCACCACTTATATACTGTAATGGCTGCCATACTTCACTAGGTGGTAAAGTTGAGTGTTTATTCTAAAGTTAATACTGTAATATAATGTGTTTCAACTATTTTATACAGCAGATATAAGAAACACATTATTCTTTTCCATGTTTTCTTCCCGCTGCGAAGCAGGGGTATAGCAGCTCGTTTTATTTGATTTTGATATTCAAAAACTGTTTGAGAAATAATATAACAGTTTTAATATCTGATATATTTTGATACATCTGAGGTATGTTTTAATTATTCTTCATGTGTGGAGATTTTTTAAAATATCGTGATCAAAAGTTTCGTCCACAACTCGTTCCGAAAGTGATTTTCCTGCACTTGCTCCATTATTCCCGTCCTTGTCTTTCTTCCCAGTTTTCGTAAGTCCTTTTCTACTTGGTCCCACCAAGTTTCAGTTTTGGTCTACCAAGGGGTCTTCTTACTTCTGGGTTGTTCTCCAATCTCCAAGTGCTTTCTTTGGTAAGGAGTCATCTTGTTTTCTTATGAAAAAAAAAATTAAAAGTCCCCTAAAAGTTCCCTAATATCCTGATGTTCATCTCATCCTTCTACTCCGTACCTCAGCGACAATATCCTGGTCTTTAAATAATTTTATCAGTTCCCAATTATGCTTTAATCTCCATTGCCCAACTTCAAAAGTCGGCCTGTACACTCTTCTTAATATTTTGTTTTCAAATACTATAATTTTCCTTTCTGTTTTTTTTTTTTTTTTTTAGTTAAAAATCCAATTTTCTGATCCATAGAGGAGAACTGGTCTGATGATGCTCTTATATTCTGAGTTTAGTAATGTGAGATATAGTATATTTTTGAGCTCTATAATTTGTGGCCTGATGAAAAAACTTGTTGCGCTAAGTTTAATTTATTTTTGTATTTCTACGTACACAGAGTAAAACCCATAATTTTATAGAGGTTCTGTTTTAAAATAATCCAGAATAACCTCTACAGGCTTAGAGCTTGTTTTGTCTACTAAACTAAACTAAATCCAACCCTGGTGACAATATTTAAGACCAGATTTTTATAAACATACGTCAAAACATAAATCGGTCTTGTAAAAAATACAATGAGGTAAACTAAAAGAAAAAGACTCAATTATAAAAATAAATTAACAATTTTATTGACTAGCTACAATACACTTTTCCTTGTGTCCAGTGGAACACATTGGTTTCAACAACTAAAATAAAAGCGATAGATGACAGGTACATCACTAGGCAGACCGAACCCAAGATTTTATTGTAATGGAACTTGTTGAGATAAGCTGCCACAAAAAGGATGGCAACACAGGCGATCTGTGCTGCTGTGTTATAGGTGAGACCGGGAGATTGAATCTTAATGGGACCTCCACCCCAGGACGCTGGCAGAAGAGTCTTGATCATCCACGGAAGTCCAAGGCACAGTAGAATGTCTAGGGTGTTGGCCCCTAGCGCATTGCTGATGCTCATTGAGCCTATACCTAGACCAACAAATTCATTATGGTTATTTTGGTTTTTTTTTAAAGGTTGGCAGCCTCTTTTATCCTTGCATTTGCCCGTCCCACTGAGCTAAAATTATAACTGGAGGTAGCACTGCCATGGCAGAAGTCTGTCAAAAGCGTGTCGCTGATTTTGTTAGGTTGGTATAGCAGCAGGTTTTTTCATCCAATAACATGGCTTCTTTATAACTCACACCTCGCGCAAACATGGCGGCTGGGGACACGCAACGTTGACATTCAGTGCTACCTCCAGTTAGAATTGTAGCTCAGTGGCCCGTCCACATAGACTAACTGCCCTTGTGTGGAACGTATCCA